CTGGGAGACACTTCCGGAAGGGGATAATGAACCTACGGCAGGAGGGATGACGGAGAGGGAGGCACCTGAGTATAGGAGAGGTTTCGGCTGGGGAGACATGATAAGTCTTGCATGGTGGCTGCGAGGGTGGGGGTTGTTTTCGGGGGTTCGGAACATGCCCTCCACGCCCGTCTGTTGTGTCATCTCGGTGTCAGCGGGGTGCGAGGCCGTCTTATGGTCCTCCGTGATGTAATCTCGAAAACACCCATCTGTTTGTCTCACCGCTCACCGAGCCGGTGCACGCCCCCCCAGGGGGGGCCAGGGGGAGGGCTGTGCAGTTGTGGAACGTGACCGGCTGCGGGGGGGCGGGGCTGGTGTTCCGCCAAGAGAGGGCACAGATGGTTGTAGAGGTCCTGGGTCAAACGGATGGCCCGCCCCGCCGCCCTGCTGGTCACAGCATGAAATGTCCTGGGCAGGCAGCATCCTGGTGAAGTGTGAATGCTGACTCAGCGCATGCGGGGCGAGCGACCCGGCCCGTCTGCTCCTCCAAGGCCGCAGTGACGTCTCCCCCCACGATCCCAAAATCCCTCTCCGTGCCTGGACCCTGTCTCCACCCAGTGAGGTTATGTTTAGGATGTTTAATGGTAAGAAATAGAATTTTTTTTTGGATTGGAAACTAAGTTCATGCCTCACTGCTGAGGCATTTGTGCCAACAATCACCTAGTCTAAAAATGTCGGCCAAAATCAGATGTTTGTAAAATGTACACGGCAGCAAAATTATCCGCTACATGGTGCTCCTTTAATATTACGCTTCAATTAATGGTTAGAGACCTTTAGACACTTGGAAAAACTCGCATCTTAGTCGGTAGGGCTAACGGTACCTGCGTATTTGTTTCTGTTCATGAATATGCAAAAATAATTGCGTCAAGGTGGTTAACGTGGTTGATAAAATACGTGAACGAAAAAGCTGCTTCCATTAGTGAATCGGGCCCCAACGTCTCTGTTGCCTTAAAGCCGCAAAACCCAGTTGGAGTAGATTACTGGTGCATTGATGTCATTCGTCGTCACCCGCATCACAGTGCGACCTTGTCGGCCACTTCGAATAGCTCTCATCTTCCTGTCTCATGGCCGGAGTAGTACTGGCTCACGAGGGGAACAGGAAGGTGAGGACGATGCCGTGATTGGACAGACGGGGCGGAAGGCTACCGCTGCCGAGCTCTGATAGGCTTGGCCGCGCTCATCAGGGAAGCTTCCTGTTACCCCCACTGGCTAGATTGTTCACACCCGAGTCTGAGGTAGCAGGGCGTTTTTAGCTAGCGATATTTTTGGTCGCATTTTTGTTTAGTGTTTAATAGAGCGTTTAAGTACTAACCAATGACTATTTTCTTCTTTCCAAGCTGTCGGTTGTTTTAACTAGCACTATTCTTTGTTTAATGAGGCTATCTAATTACGTGAATTTTGATGAACACATAATGCAAATCAAGTGACGGCCGCCGCCGAAAACGGTTTTGCTTTATTCCACCATACCTATGAGTTTCTGGGCTTGCATCCAGATTATTAAATATAATTCTATAAAGAATACTTTACTGATAAAATTCATTGTGCTATTGTTGCATTACTCCTGCGGTTTTAGTCTAATTAGACCTTTTAAAGGCCAGAAAAAATATGCAAAAGAGAAGCTGAACAGCAAATATTGTGATATGACTGAAATTACAGACATTATTTCCTTCCAGCTGAGTTAATATTTTTGTTTGTTCAATCTTGCCTTGAATCTTAAATCACCTCTGGGACAGATTTACTTAGACAAGTAGAATTCATGATGATAACGACACTCGTTTTTTTGCACGCACAAATTATTCCAGACTTTGTAGCCAGTATATTAAGGGCCTGGAATGGCTTCACTGAATGAATTTTAATGCCACCCAAGCCATTTGGTGTTTGACTCGACTTTAATTCGTTTGATCTGCAAGAAAGTGAATCATTCAAAGTCCGATTTTAACTTAGAAGAAGTACATGGCAATAATTAACCAACTAATTTTGTCTTGTTTTTCTAAGGGATTTTCCTTCCTTGTGTTTTAGTAGAGAAGTCTTCACCTGTGAAACTGTCCTGTGCAGAAACTGGCGGTCAGTCCCAGCCCCCATATTTTATATACAAACCTTAGCAATCCTGCTAGAGCAATACTCCTGAATATGTATTACAATTGCAAAATAAAACCATGAATCACATTTTCTCTTGTTTTCCTTTAAGCAATTGATCCAGCAATTAGCCGTTATGTGATGTTTTGTTATTTATCAGTTAGCATAATGTCTGCTAATTATGTTTCAGTCTCGTAGGTAAAATGCTTGGGCCCGTGCTGTACGTAGCATAAATAAATTGGCGTGTGCGTTTGGAAAAACAGCCTCTCGCATCTCGCTCGATTTGCCAAAATGCCGTTTGTTTCATGGAGCTCCAGGGTGATTTTGCTGGAAGATCACAAAAATCGTTTAATAACCGCATGCCTCGGGGGGGCCTGCTTTCCCGAAATCTTACAGAATAGAAAACCTGCGCGTTTAGTGCTTGTTAAATACAGTATTTGCTTCCTTGCAAAATACAGTCTTTGCTCCCAGAAGCTGTAATACGGTGCTTCTTGTTCTTACCCCATGTAACTTATACAACTTGTTTGGGGGAAAGAACATTTGTACTTGCGTGTAACAACATGAGTTTAGCAACAGTAACAACCTTGGCTTTCTGTCACATTTCTTGCGCATTAACTGCTTCTAATAACACAGAAGGTTAATTGGTAGCTGAGCCGATTAGGAGAGTAATACTTCTGTTCAGAAATAAAGTTTAGCCGCTCAGACTAGACACGGTGTTTAAATTGTCAGACCGCCGCAGTCTGGATCACGTGACGGTGTGTATCTTTTCATAAAACCTGCTACTCCAGTACTTATGGTAATATAGATCTGCTTGAGGTGGAATGAGGTAGAATAGTAGCTTTTTTCATAATAGCAGAAATCTTGATGCACTGCAGGCATCAGTGTCGCACTGATGCTCGCATGGGTAACCTTTCACCTTGACAATTTTCAACCAGAAGGATAGTGGCTTAATTTCCCAGCAGCCTCTGTGCTGCCAAGCTGAGAAAGGGCATGATGTGGTGTCGTGGTTTGCTGCGGCGACGCTGCGTGTCCTGCGTGCAGGCTGGAGGGTAGGGTGTGTGTGAACGTGGGCCAGACTGCGCCGTTTGCTGCGAGACTGCCTGCGTTGGCCTGACCGCTTCCCCTTTGATGTATCGCATTTGTTGCTTGGAAACAGATGAATGTCCAGTGAGGTTAGAGGTCAGTGCGTGATTTTTGAATGCATGCGGAGGCTCCATTTAGAGCCTAACAAGGGACATTAGAACAGCTAGAAATTGGCTACAGGATCCTCAGTAATTATGCTATCAGTCACCTGTAATGATCCTTTCCGATTATACCTCAGGAAAACATTGGACAAAATGAGGCACATGTGACCCCCGCCCCCCCCAGTCCTACACCGCCATGGGACAGGGTACATTTAACATCAAGGATGCTAACTCTGTTCTTTCAGAAAAAACAGGCCGCCCACATCATAGGAGCACAACGTCTTCCTTAATACCGACGTTGGGTCAAAGCCTATGTTTCTCTGTCATCAGCTTCAGCGACATGATGCGTGGAGGTGAAATGTCACACGCGTTGGGCATAGCGCAAATGCAGGCAGATAATAGGAAATAAGTATCGAGAGATAAATATGACATTGTAAGACCTGGGGGGTGTTCCACGAATCTGGATTTCTCAGTTACCTGGGTTAACTTAACCTAGAAATCATGATCGTCCAATAGGAATGCTTCTTACCTAAACTCTTTTTGGACAATCCTGACTTCTAGCTTAACCCAGCTAACTGAGAAATCCTGCTTTGTGGAACATTAAGGAATAACACATAAGAGAAAACCTGTTTCAGAAAACAGGTTTTCTTGCTTAACTGGATACCTTGTCGGATTTAAGGTGGTCTGAGCTAAATGCATTTTTATCTTTGTCCACTTGCATTTAGCCCAGACTACCTTAAATGATAAGTTATCTGGCTAAGCAAGAAATCCTGCTTCATGACACAGGCCCCTGGACATTGAGGCGTAAGAGAGAGAATTAACCACCTGATAGGTGGGAACATACTGGTGCGTGTGTGGTATGGAATTGGATTAGAAATGTGCGATAAATAGATTTTGATTTCACAGTCAAGAGTGCAGCATTGTTAGACCTATTAAGAGATCGCAGTATTCAGCAGCTGAATAGTCTGTCACTCCTGACATCGTAATTAAACATTCACATGGTAACGCCTTCGTTCAGGCCAAGCAGAGGAGACTGTATGCGAATGCTGCTGTAAATCGTACTTCAGCGACAGTCTGCCTCGCCTCGGTAATCCGCCCGTCTTTCTAGTGTCAACAGTGTCAAGCGAAAACTCGCGGAAATAGAAAAAAATTAAATAAAGCCCGAGGCTGGTCTGCTCTCTGGGAGCCGGCCGTGAGGTTTCCAGGAGGAGATAACTCAGGCTGTGGGCTTCCGCTGAAGGTCATCATCTATCTGACGGCAGGGATCAGTCTGCAAGGTCTCGGCCATGTTGGAAATAAGACATCGAAACAGAGCCGATAGCAGCGTATATGAATAACTGCGGTTATGGAGGGGGGGTAACTGGAGAAGACGGCAGGAACACGTGTGTGTGTGTGTGTGTGTGTGTGTGTGCGTGCGTGCGTGCTACATGTGCGTGCGTGCGTGTGTGTGTGTGTGTGTGTGCCCACACCTGTATGCATGTGTCCGAATAATATATGTATCCAAAGATGTGTTTGTATCTCCAAAGACATGCATGTATGTGTATGTGTGTGTGTGTGTGTGAGTGTGTCTGGCCGCATTGTGGCTGAGCCCCGGTGTGGCTGACGCTCGCACACGGCCCCCCCACCCCGGGAGACGGTAGGTGCGGCCCCCCCGCAGGCGGGTGCCCACTGCGGCCACTGACCCCCGTCTCCCTCTCGCAGGCAAGGGACCGGAGACGCTGTTCGCAGGACAGAAGCTCAACGACAACGAGTGGCACTCGGTGAAGGTGGTGCGTCGCGGCAAGAGCCTGCAGCTCTCGGTGGACAACGTCACCGTGGAAGGTGAGGATACGACGCGCGGACACCTCCGCGGGGGGGGGGGGGGGGGGGGGGGGGGCGTCCAATCAAC